TCCCAGCTCAGACTGACACTACTGAAGTCTCCCAGCTCAGACTGACACTACTGAAGTCTCCAAGCTCAGCCCGACACTACTGAAGTCTCCCAGCTCAGACTGACACTACTGAAGTCTCCCAGCTCAGACTGACACTACTGAAGTCTCCCAGCTCAGACTGACACTGCTGAAGTATCTCAGCTCAGACTGACACTTCTGAAGTCTCCCAGCTCAGACTGACACTACTGAAATCTCCCAGCTCAGACTGACACTACTGAAGTCTCCCAGCTCAGACTGACACTACTGAAGTCTCCCAGCTCAGACTGACACTACTGAAGTCTCCCAGCTCAGACTGACACTACTGAAGTATCTCAGCTCAGACTGACACTTCTGAAGTCTCCAGCTCAGACTGACACTACTGAAATCTCCCTGCTCAGACTGACACTACTGAAGTCTCCCAGCTCAGACTGACACTACTGAAGTCTCCCAGCTCAGACTGACACTACTGAAGTCTCCCAGCTTAGACCGACACTACTGAAGTCTCCAGCTCAGACTGACACTACTGAAGTCTCCCAGCTCAGACTGACACTACTGAAGTCTCCCAGCTCAAACTGACACTACTGAAGTCTCCCAGCTCAGACTGACACTACTGAAGTCTCCCAGCTCAAACTGACACTACTGAAGTCTCCCAGCTCAAACTGACACTACTGAAGTCTCCCAGCTCAGACTGACACTACTGAAGTCTCCCAGCTCAGACTGACACTACTGAAGTCTCCAGCTCAGACTGACACTACTGAAGTCTCCCAGCTTAGACCGACACTACTGGAGTCTCCCAGCTCAGACTAACACTTCTGAAGTCTCCCAGCTCAAACTGACACTACTGAAGTCTCCCAGCTCAGACTGACACTACTGAAGTCTCCCAGCTCAGACTAACACTTCTGAAGTCTCCCAGCTCAAACTGACACTACTGAAGTCTCCCAGCTCAGACTGACACTACTGAAGTCTCCCAGCAAAGACTGACACTACTGAAGTCTACCAGCTCAGACTGACACTACTGAAGTCTCCCAGCTCAGACTGACACTACTGAAGTCTCCCAGCTCAGACTGACACTACTGAAGTCTCCCAGCTAAGACTGACACTACTGAAGTATCTCAGCTCAGACTGACACTTCTGAAGTCTCCCAGCTCAGACTGACACTACTGAAGTCTCCCAGCTCAGACTGACACTACTGAAGTCTCCCAGCTCAGACCGACACTACTGAAGTCTCCCAGCTCAGACTGGCACTACTGAAGTCTCCCAGCTCAGACTGACACTACTGAAGTATCTCAGCTCAGACTGACACTACTGAAGTCTCCCAGCTCAGACTGACACTACTGAAGTCTCCCAGCTCAGACCGACACTACTGAAGTCTCCCAGCTCAGACCGACACTACGGAAGTCTCCCAGCTCAGACTGACTCTACTGAAGTCTCCCAGCTCAGACTAACACTACTGAAGTATCTCAGCTCAGACTGACCCTTCTGAAGTCTCCCAGCTCATACTGACACTACTGAAGTATCCCAGCAAAGACTGACACTACTGAAGTCTCCCAACTCAGACTGACACTACTGAAGTCTCCCAGCTCAGACTGACACTACTGAAATGTCTCAGCTCAGACTGACACTACTGAAGTCTACCAGCTCAGACTGACACTACTGAAGTCTACCAGCTCAGACTGACACTACTGAAGTCTCCCAGCTCAGACTGACATTACTGAAGTCTCCCAGCTCAGGCTGACACTGCTGAAGTCTCACAGCTCAGACTGACACTACTGAAGTTTTCCAGCTCAGACTGACACTGCTGAAGTCTCCCAGCTCAGACTGACACTACTGAAGTCTCCCAGCTCAGACTGACACTACTGAAGTCTCCCAGCTCAGACCGACACTACTGAAGTCTCCCAGCTCAGACTGACACTACTGAAGTATCTCAGCTCAGACTGATACTACTGAAGTCTCCCAGCTCAGACTGACACTACTGAAGTCTCCCAGCTCAGACTGACACTTCTGAAGTCTCCCAGCTCAGACTGACACTACTGAAGTCTCCCAGCTCAGACTGACACTACTGAAGTCTCCCAGCTCAGACTGACACTACTGAAGTCTCCCAGCTCAGACCGACACTACTGAAGTCTCCCAGCTCAGACCGACACTACTGAAGTCGCCCAGCTCAGACTGACACTACTGAAGTCTACAGCTCAGACTGACACTACTGAAGTCTACAGCTCAGACTGACACTACTGAAGTCTACAGCTCAGACTGACACTACTGAAGTCTACAGCTCAGACTGACACTACTGAAGTCTCCCAGCTCAGACCGACACTACTGAAGTCGCCCAGCTCAGACTGACTTACTGAAGTCTCCCAGCTCAGACAAACACTACTGAAGTATCTCAGCTCAGACTGACACTACTGAAGTCTCCCAGCTCTGACTGACACTACTGAAGTCTCCCAGCTCAGACTGACACTACTGAAGTCTCCCAGCTCAGACTGACACTACTGAAGTCTCCCAGCTCAGACCGACACTACTGAAGTCTCCCAGCTCAGATCGACACTACTGAAGTCTCCCAGCTCAGACCGACACTACTGAAGTCTCCCAGCTCAGACCGACACTACTGAAGTCTCCCAGCTCAGACTAACACTACTGAAGTATCTCAGCTCAGACTGACACTACTGAAGTCTCCCAGCTCTGACTGACACTACTGAAGTCTCCCAGCTCAGACTGACTCTACTGAAGTCTCCCAGCTCAGACTAACACTACTGAAGTATCTCAGCTCAGACTGACACTACTGAAGTCTCCCAGCTCTGACTGACACTACTGAGTCTCCAGCTCAGACTGACACTACTGAAGTCTACCAGCTCAGACTGACACTACTGAAGTCTCCCAGCTCATACCGACACTACTGAAGTCTCCCAGCTCAGACCGACACTACTGAAGTCTCCCAGCTCAGACCGACACTACTGAAGTCTACCAGCTCAGACCGACACTACTGAAGTCTCCCAGCTCAGACTAACACTACTGAAGTATCTCAGCTCAGACTGACACTATTGAAGTCTCCCAGCTCTGACTGACACTACTGAAGTCTCCCAGCTCAGACCGACACTACTGAAGTCTCCCAGCTCAGACTGACTCTACTGAAGTCTCCCAGCTCAGACTAACACTACTGAAGTATCTCAGCTCAGACTGACACTACTGAAGTCTCCCAGCTCTGACTGACACTACTGAAGTCTCCCAGCTCAGACTGACTCTACTGAAGTCTCCCAGCTCAGACTAACACTGCTGAAGTCTCCCAGCTCATACTGACACTACTGAAGTCTCCCAGCTCTGACTGACACTACTGAAGTCTCCCAGCTCTGACTGACACTACTGAAGTCTCCCAGCTCTGACTGACACTACTGAAGTCTCCCAGCTCAGACTGACACTACTGAAGTCTCCCAGCTCATACTGAGACTACTGAAGTCTCCCAGCTCTGACTGACACTACTGAAGTCTCCCAGCTCTGACTGATACTACTGAAGTCTCCCAGCTCAGACTGACACTACTGAAGTCTCCCAGCTCAGACTGACACTACTGAAGTCTCCCAGCTCATACTGACACTACTGAAGTCTCCCAGCTCTGACTGACACTACTGAAGTCTCCCAGCTCTGACTGACACTACTGAAGTCTCCCAGCTCTGACTGACACTACTGATGTATCCCAGCTCAGACTGACACTACTGAAGTCTCCCAGCTCAGACTGACATTACTGAAGTCTCCCAGCTAAGACTGACACTACTGAAGTCTACCAGCTCAGACTGACACTACTGAAGTCTCCCAGCTAAGACTGACACTACTGAAGTCTCCCAGCTCAGACTGACATTACTGAAGTCTCCCAGCTAAGACTGACACTACTGAAGTCTACCAGCTCAGACTGACACTACTGAAGTCTCCCAGCTCAGACTGACACTACTGAAGTATCCAAGCTAAGACTGACACTACTGAAGTCTCCCAGCTCAGACTGACACTACTGAAGTCTCCCAGCTAAGACTGACACTACTGAAGTCTACCAGCTCAGACTGACACTACTGAAGTATCCCAGCTAAGACTGACACTACTGAAGTCTACCAGCTCAGACTGACACTACTGAAGTCTCCCAGCTCAGACTGACACTGCTGAAGTCTCCCAGCTCAGACTGACACTACTGAAGTCTCACAGCTCAGACTGACACTACTGAAGTCTCACAGCTCAGACTTACACTACTGAAGTTTTCCAGCTCAGGCTGACACTACTGAAGTCTCCTAGCTCAAACTGACACTACTGAAGTCTCCCAGCTCAGACTGACACTACTGAAGTCTCCCAGCTCAGACTGACACTACTGAAGTTTTCCAGCTCAAACTGACACTGCTGAAGTCTCCCAGCTCAGACTAAAACTACTGAAGTCTCCCAGCTCAGACTGATATTGCTGAAGTCTCCCAGCTCAGGCTGACTCTATTGAAGTCTCCCAGCTCAGACTGACACTACTGAAGTTTCTCAGATCAGACTGACACTACTGAAGTCTCCATCTCAGGCTGTCACTGCTCAAGTCTGTAGCTCAGGCTGTCATTGCTGACGTCTCCTAACTCAGGCTGACACTACTAAAATCTCCAGCTCAGGCTGACACTACTGAAGTCTCCCAGCTATGGCTGCACTAGGTTTGAAGTCAATGGCTTCTCAAATATTTCAATATGTGTATTGTTAAATCTCGTCTCTGCCTCTTGGAATGTTCCACAGGAAATAAAATCTACCAAAATGAAGTCGTGTCTATTGGTACTTTATTTTCAGTTGTGGAATTTGATTTTATTCCAGGACTAATCTTCACATAATAAATATATAACCTCCTATGATAGATCATTAATGAATGGTGATCAACACCATCATCATCGGTGATGTCATCTTCACTGTCATTGCGTGTTAGGTAGGGTTCAGCGTGAACATCACAGTTCAAGGTTTCCTTAACACTAACTTATATCCGTACATGGCAGGTTCTTTGCTAAACATTTATGCTGTGGACTACACCCGCTCTTCCCACATGGACATCATATCAACTGCACAATGGAATCTGGTGGGCATGGCATTTCACAATGTGAACCATTTGTCCATTCTCTATGTTCCATCCATTATCAATGATGGAACTGTTGGTCTTAGGCTGGCATCTTGGTTCCAGATCATGATCTGGTTTTCGACTCTCTTCCCTTTAAGATATACAAGCACTTCTTGTAGATGGTAACATTTCCCAGCTCGGCTGTGTCTTAAAAGAAACACACCAGAGCTACTTGGCAAGTTTACTTATGCTGGTTCTCGGCTAATAGATTTTGCAAATGAAAGCCTCATGTTTAACCAGCACAAGTTCTGGAATTTGTTCTTGTGTTCCTGGTGATTTAATTAAAAAAAAGCGTACTAAAATGCAGGTAATGCAGAAACCTTCAAGAATCCTAGTGATAGGAATATCCTTCCAACTGAAATAATGTCTTTAGAAGTAGGCGGAAGAGGAGAGGAGGAAGTGTGGGAAACCTTCTTAGAGCAAGAATGAAAACATCTGTGTTCTGTGTAAAATTATAGACTTTGTAGCTCTTTACGTGGCATTGATGGCATAAAAATGATCTTCACGTCTGTTTCTTCTTGTGTATTGCGAAGATAATCGTAAAAACAATGTGAGATAGCTATTTTGGTATGCCACGCCACTGCAAATTCTTTATTTTGATAATTTGTTATGCTGAAGTATTTTTGAGCTAGATGCTAGGTAACTAATTAATTACAGTGTTGGTACAGTATCCTGAAGCCTCTTGCCTTGTCAAACTTTTGTGTGATTTTTCTTTGTATGTGTCAAATACTAAGTGCATTTCATTATACCTTTCAGTACTTCCTCATATTTATTTTGCTGGATATTTCCACTAGATCTTAGCATGTTTCAATCCTTTTACTTATCCAGAGTTTGTAGCTCTGTCATGACATCAACTTATACAATAGAAAAGATCCTTTGAAGTGGAGTATATCTGTTGTTGGATTTGTTTATTTGCTGTTTGGTCTGCTGCTTTACTTTTATGCTGGAAAGTTGAAAGTGAACATAGAAAAGAGTAAGGTGATGAGGGCTTCAAATGATTTAGATAAAGAAAAATTGGATATCAAATTGGGGAGGAGGAAGAAGTGAATGTTTTCAGATACTTGGGAGTTGACGTGTCGGCGGATGGATTTATGAAGGATGAGGTTAATCATAGAATTGATGAGGGAAAAAAGGTGAGTGGTGCATTGAGGTATATGTGGAGTCAAAAAACGTTATCTATGGAGGCAAAGAAGGGAATGTATGAAAGTATAGTGGTACCAACACTCTTATATGGATGTGAAGCTTGGGTTGTGAATGCAGCAGCGAGGAGACGGTTGGAGGCAGTGGAGATGTTCTGTCTAAGGGCAATGTGTGGTGTGAATATTATGCAGAAAATTCGGAGTGTGGAAGTTAGGAGAAGGTGTGGAGTTAATAAAAGTATTAGTCAGAGAGCTGAAGAGGGGTTGTTGAGGTGGTTTGGTCATTTAGAGAGAATGGATCAAAGTAGAATGACATGGAGAGCATTTAAATCTGTAGGGGAAGGAAGGCAGGGTAGGGGTCGTCCTCGAAAAGGTTGGAAGGAAGGGGTAAGGGAGGTTTTGTGGGCGAGGGGCTTGGACTTCCAGCAGGCGTGCATGAGTGCGTTCGATAGGAGTGAATGGAGACGAATGTTATTTGGGACCTGACGATCTGTTGGAGTGTGAGCAGGGTAATATTTAGTGAAGGGATTCAGGGAAACCGGTTATTTTTATATAGCCGGACTTGAGTCCTGGAAATGGGAAGTACAATGCCTGCACTAAATTTATAGGAGGGGTTTGGGATATTGGCAGTTTGGAGGGATATGTTGTGTATCTTCATACGTATATACTTTTAAACTGTTGTGTTCTGGGCACCTCTGCAAAAACAGTGATTATGTGTGAGTGTGGTGAAAGTGTTGAATGATGATGAAAGTATTTTCTTTTTGGGGATTTTCTTTCATTTTGGGTCACCCTGCCTCGGTGGGAGGCGGCCGACTTGTTAAAAAAAAAAATCATTAAACGGTGGTCGTAGTAAATCAGAGAACCGTAGTGTTGTCTCACGTAAATCAGAAAATTCATAAAACCTAGTGTTGTCTTACGTAAATCTACTTGACGATGTGATCCGTCAACAAACAGTAGTCGGGGTGATAGTGATCCTTCTGTTGTTAACTCTAAATTTAGCAGTACTGTCCATATCCGACAGGATCCCGAGAATTCATGGTTCAAGATTCAGATTATTATTATTATAATCAAAAAGAAGCGCTAAGCCACAAGGGCTATACAGCTAAGATTCAGAGATGAATGTGTGTGGAAGTGATCACCGTGTGATCTTGTATACTCACTAGCGTTCACATGTATTGATACATCATGACGTGCAGTTTCTATAATTGTAAAATAAGACAATGCACGTATAGGATATATTCAGTTTTTTCCGTTCAAATACATGAAAGATCTCCACCACTGAATGTGATTCTTCAAGTCCTTAATAATTATTATCCCTGTATCTACGATTATTTATTTATTTGTTTATTTATTATTATTATTATTATTATTATTATTATTATTATTATTATTATTATTATTATTATTATTATTATTATTATTATTATTATTATTATTATAAGACCCTTTACTTGGATCCGACCTAATTATTCATTTATACTAATAAACAGATCACTTCAGTATGAGAGTAACGTAAAACCTAACTTATCATGTAGATACACAGAAACCTATGCAGGTCTCTAGCAGCTTGGCTGGCAAAGCAACAGTATGTATCTGTTAGTTGACGGAGGTTCTAGCCTTCGCAAGTCTGAGTTGAATGACCCACAACAAACGTAATGAAGGAAACTATTAAAGTTGGTTGACTGGTCTTCAGATTTATTGTCTACAACTTTGTTAAGTCTAATATTAACTTCCCACAATTAGTCAAGAAGACTAATTGTGAAGACTAATCTCTCAAATAAGAATTAAGGTAAACTCTCAGTATTCCTTTCAGGTGATGAAGATAGTGAGGCAGGTGGAGCAGACAGTGTCATGGGTTATGAGGAAGTATGTGAGGTTCCTGGTGGTGGGAGCGCTCACCACCTGCACCATCCTCAACCTGGCTCTCCACGCAGGTGCTGGACTACAATACTACTGTCGTCAAGGTCAGTATGATTGGTGTGTGTAACTCTGTCTGTGGTTGTTGTTACATTCATCACGCGGCAATGACCTGACACATGTCATTTATATATTTACTTGTTTCCCTCCGAGAAAAAGAGAGAACTTATTCACCGTCATTCATTCAGTCATCGTCTTTCCAGAAGCTTGCTGACGTATAATTCAGATGGCCTTCCGAACTGAAACATCCTCACGCCTCTTTTAGAGTGCAGACATTATAGCACTTCCAGGACTCAAATCCGGCTAATTGATTTTTACCTTGCTCACTCTCCAACAGCATGTCAACTTATAAAAATCACTTGCCTCTACTTACTCCTATCTGTTGGATGTTCAAGACAGACACCCTTCCTGGGACGATCTGTAGTCCTCTTTCCTCCCACTCTAAATTTACATACCCTCCTAGTCACCCTATTTTTGACCCATCCTCTCTAAACGCGAAAACCGCCTCAGCAACCTCTTCTCAGCCTACTGAATTATACTCCTGGCAACCCCATACCTTCTAATCTTCACGCTACAAATTCTCTGCTTAATTTTCACACTTCAAATCGCTCTCAAATACATCTCCTTTAGTCTCCTCCACTATACTCTGGTACAGTTCTCATTTTGCATCTATGGATGAAGTTATTTGCCTCCACAAAAGTCTCAGTGCATCATCCACCTTTTTCCTTTGGTCAGTTCTTTGGTTCGTCTAGTTGTTTAGAGGCCCATCCACCGACAAGTCCACTCTAAATATATGAACACATTTGCTTTCTCCTTCTAACATGATATCAAGTCTTATATTGCCTAGATTGTTTGTTACTCTCATCACCTTATTCTTTCCATTCATCATTTTTTATATTCTTCTTTTACATACCCTCCCAAATTCATTCACTAACCTGTACAATTTCTCTCAGAATCTCGCAAACGAACCGTGTCAACGGCAAAGAGCAACTGTGAAAACTATCACTTTGTTCCAAATTCGTGTTCTTTTAATCCCGCACCTTTCCATAACACCTTAGCATTCACTTCTTTCACATTCCCATCTGCAAATATGTTAGCAACCATGGTGACGCCACACATTCCTTTGCTATACCTACTTTGTGTAATAATCCCCCGTCTCTCATGTACACTCTAACCTGACCCTCACGATCCATATAAAAACTCTTTACTGCTTTCATTAATCTATTGTCTGTTCTATTCACTTGCAACATCCTCCATATTTCACTAGTATTCACCTTATATGCATTTTCTTATCCATAAATACAATAAAAAAGGTTCTATACCTTCATATCCCCTCAAGGGAGGTTCTTTGACGCTGGGGAGGGGCTCTTAATCTAGGGAATTGGATCTGTGCTCCAGTTCCCTGAATTGAGCCTGAATACCTTCCATTCCCCCCCCCCACATGCGCTGTATAATCTTACTGGTTTAGAGCTCCCCCATGATTATAATAATATACCTTCATTTAAGTACTGTTCACTTACATATTTCAATGTAAACAGTATGTCTACATATCCTAAATCCTTTTTAAATCCTCTTTGTTCTTCTTTAATTCTACTTTCCTTTTTTCATAATTATTTCGATAATACTTCTTCCATACACCTTATACGGTATAATCAACAGGCTTATTCCACTATAATTTTTACTCTCGCTCTTTTCCCCTTTTCGCTTATACAAGGGTAACTATTAATGCTCTGCCAATCCCAAGGTAATCTACCTTTCTTCATACAAATACTGAACAAAATAACCGGCAACTCAAAACAATATTCCCACTTCCTTTCAACATTTGTCTTTTCCTCCTTTCATTCTTCCCGCGGCCTCACGCACTGACCCTCCACACTCACATCTGGCTCTTCCTTTCTTCTACAAAATGTTATACCTCCCTGCCCATTGTCTGCAATCACTGCCTCTATTTCTTCATCACCAGGTTGGGTGACTGTGGTGGGCTGGAGGGACAGGTTGAGTGACCGTGATGGGCTGGAGGGCCAGGTTGGGTGACTGAGGTGGACTGGAGGACCAGGTTGAGTGACTGTGAAGGGCTGGAGGGCCAGGTTGGGTGACTGAGGTGGACTGGAGGACCAGGTTGAGTGACTGTGAAGGGCTGGAGGGCCAGGTTGGGTGACTGAGGTGGACTGGAGGACCAGGTTGAGTGACTGTGAAGGGCTGGAGGGCCAGGTTGGGTGACTGAGGTGGACTGGAGGGCCAAGTTGAGTGGCTGTGATGGGCTGGAGGGCCAGGTTGAGTGACTGTAATGGGCTGGAGGGCCAGGTTGAGTGACTGTGAAGGGCTGGAGGGCCAGGTTGAGTGACTGAGGTGGGCTGGAGGGCCAGGTTGAGTGACTGCGATGGGCTGGAGGGCCAGGTTGGGTGACTGAGGTGGACTTGAGGGCCAGGTTGAGTGACTGCGATGGGCTGGAGGGCCAGGTTGAGTGACGGGGATGGGCTGGAGGGCCAGGTTGGGTGACTGAGGTGGGCTGGAGGGCGAGATTGAGTGACTGTGATGGGCTGGAGGGCCAGGTTGAGCGACTGTGATGGGCTGGAGTGTCGGGTTGGGTGACTGAGATGGGCTGGAGGGCCAGGTTGAGTGACTGTGATGGGCTGGAGGGCAAGGTTGAGTGACTGTGGTGGGCTGGAGGGCCAGGTTGAGTGACTGTGGTGGGCTGCAGGGCCAGGTTGAGTGACTGTGATGAGCTGGAGGGCCAGGTTGAGTGACTGTGGTGGGCAGGAGGGCCAGGTTGAATGACTGTGATGGGCTGGAGGGCCAGGTTGGGTGACTGAGGTGGGCTGGAGGGCCAGGTTGGGTGACTGTGGTGGGCTGGAGGGCCAGGTTGAGTGACTGTGATGGGTTGGAGGGCCAGGTTGAGTGACTGTGGTGGGCTGGAGAGCCAGGTTGAGTGACTGTGATGGGCTGGAGGGTCAGGTTGAGTGACTGTGGAGGGCTGGAGGGCCAGGTTGAGTGAATGTGGTGGGCTGGAGGGCCAGGTTGAGTGACTGTGGTGGGCTGGAGGGCCAGGTTGAGTGACTGTGGTGGGCTGGAGGGCCAGGTTGAGTGACTGTGGTGGGCTGGAGGGCCAGGTTGAGTGACTGTGGTGGGCTGGAGGGCCAGGTTGAGTTACTGTGGCTGTGGAGCAATCTGTGAGAAATTATTATTATTATTATTATTATTTGAGTAAATCACCTGCAGGAGGTTTACAGGACATCACCTGTATTATTACCTGCAAATAATTTGGGTGAGGTAAGTGGAACTTTGTCACAGCAGGTCACTGAACTGCAACTCCTTTAATTGCCCACTTCTACACCTCTTTCACAAAAAGCTAGACCTAACATTAAATTAATAATTATAATATTATAGCCAGCTACTCTGGTAAAATTGAATTAGTGGACTGTATGAGATTAGGTTATTGGATGCACAAAAATATAACAGTTAGTACAAAGAACTTTACATTACCACTTATCATTCAATTGTTGGAAAACACTTAATGCTGATGGAACTCACCCTAACCTAACCCCTGGCAGCTAGAATTTACGATGGCCAACGCAAAAACTATTGCACATTATGGGTAGGCGCCACTTAGCTGAGGGACGCTCCTAGGAGAATTATTGTCTTCTATTTTTCTGTCTTCCACACTCAGTTCTTGAGGTCCCACAAATTTCCTGCCCCAATTCTTCAGCAGGGGACGTATCAGCAATTTCTAAACTACAAATTGAGGCCGATTCATCCCATTAGGCCTCGGATAATGCCGAATTATTATCACCAAGTAGACAAGTGTTCACTCATTAAATTAAACATGGTGTGTCTCCCGGCGTTACTCAGCAGCTCGACTACCTCCCCCCTCCCCCCTCACTCGGAATTTCTCGAAGGGTCAATACAGCATCGTATTTTATTATACACTTATTATATTATTTAAATGTTCTACGTTTGGGAAATTATGTAAAAAAATTCTACCAGATTATTGTGTTGAATTATTCAGCACTGTGAAGCGTGTACTAGACTTATGTTGTATAATCGTTGATGTTACTAAGTTGAATGATCATCAGTATCTAATGTACCTGGTTCTGTCACCTCTCTATAAAATGCTTGAATATAAGTGTATATACAAGTGCTTGTCCAACTGGTTGTTCAAGAGTTTCTTTTTTTTCAACTTAAAACTTCAGCAGGTGTTATATAATTGTAATAAAATCCTTTATCTACATTAGTGTTGCACCTGTTGTTAGGTAAGACACATATGCAACAGTTAGGTATCTTTATTTCGAAACGTTTCGCCTACACAGTAGGCTTCTTCAGTCGAGTACAGAAAAGTTGATAGAACAGAAGATACTTGAAGACGATGTAATCAGTCCATCAAGTATCTTCTGCTTCTATCAACTTTTCTGTACTCGACTGAAGAAGCCTACTGTGTAGGCGAAACGTTTCGAAATAAAGATACCTAACTGTTGCATATGTGTCTTACCTAACAATCTGTCGGTATTTTATACCATTTTAATGTTCAGTGTTGCACCTCTTGCCTCGGAGACTCATACATTGGTTTATGTTACTGGACAACTTTCTTCCTTCAAATTTCTTGAATGGCGACCAACCACTCAATTTAATTAATTTTCGGCAAGTTTAATGATAACTCATGATGTGGAGAATTGAGAAATTTATGCAACATATGAGAATCTTTATTGAAGAAACGTGTCGCCACACAGTGGCTTCATCAGTCCAATACAAAGTAGAAATGGGTAAGGAGAGGAGGAGATTGAGGTAATCAGTCCCTCAGCCTGGAATCGATGTGTTCAGTCCATCAGTCTTGTAGGAAGTGCAGCATAGGGCCAGAGAGGTGGCTTATATACTGCAGTCAGGTGAGTCGAAGCAGAAGGCGGAATCACAGTGGGACCTTCCATCACCTATCACAAAACTAACAGAGGGAAAATTCTTAGGAATCCACCTTGATAATAGACTCAAATTTCATACACATATACAACAAATTTCTAAGAAAATTTCCAAGACTGTAGGCATACTATCGAAGATACGGTACTATGTTCCACAGTCAGCCCTCCTGGCCCTATATCACTCTCTTATTTACCCCTATCTCACCTATGGAATTTGTGCATGGGGCTCAACAACAATTAACCATCTCAGACCACTAATTACCCAACAAAAGGCTGCAGTTAGAATGATAACAAATTCTCACTACGGCAAACACACTCCACCAATATTCAATACACTAAACCTACTCACCATACAAAACATCCTACTTATTACTGCACCTATTACATACATAGAACACTTAACTCTGATATTAACCCTCCCCTCAAACATCTCCTTGCCAACCTCAACAGAACACATGACCATAACACAAGGCACAGATCACTCTTTGATGTTCCCGTGTCCATCTCACACTATGCAAAAAAATCAATGCACATAAAAGGCCCTAAAATCTGGAATTTCATTACCTGTAAATATAAAAGAAACACTACCTGTTTAAAAAATTCAAGTCTCTTCTCAAAGATCACTTACTCACCCAAAACCAAATAAATACTGAATAACGAACCTTATAAATTGTATATCTTAAATGTTTCTCACAATTATATCACATAAATGTTAAACCAAAACCCAATCTAACTTTATTATTTTTTAAATACACTACCTAACAGAATCCTTCATATGACTGAATGCAACCATATGACCTGTCTTTGTAATACTCACTTGTGCTTTATAGTAATCTGTTTACATTAATGTTTTATCACTGATTTCATCATTGCTTAGTTAATCTTAAGTTAATTTTAAGCCAGCCCGTAATGCTATGCATAGTATAAGTGGCTTTGGCATGCTGCTCTTATCTGTATTTTTTTGTACCTCTGTATGTGTGCTTAAATTGGAAATAAATAAAAATAAATAAATAAAGTGTAAGTAGGTCGTCGTCCAAAGGTTGGACAAGCGTTGAAGAATTCTTTGTACCAAAATCCCACCGGTGGCCTGGTGGCTACAGCTCCCGCTTCACACACGGAGGGCCCGGGTTCGATTCCCGGCGGGTGGAAACATTCCGACACGTTTCCTTACACCTGTTGTCCTGTTCACCTAGCAGCAAATAGGTACCTGGGTGTTAGTCGACTGGTGTGGGTCGCATCCTGGGGGACAAGATTGAGGACCCCAATGGAAATAAGTTAGACAGTCCTCGATGACGCACTGACTTTCTTGGGTTATCCTGGGTGGCTAACCCTCCGGGGTTAAAAATCCGAACGAAATCTTATCTTATCTGACAAATGTGATGAATGGTTTTGAAAACCGACAAGTTTGTATTGGACTGATGAAGCCACTGTGTGGCGAAACGTTTCTTCAATAAATATTCCCGTATGTTGCATAAGTGTCTCAATTCTTCAGCTTGTCGGTTTTAAAAACCATTCTTCACAACTTATGATGTGACTGTGACCAGGTCATGTTAGGCTTCATATACTCTGATGTGACTGTGACCCGGTCATGCTAGGCTTCAAATGTCTGGTGTGGCTGTGACAGGTCAATGTGGGCTGTCTTCATACCTTCTTTTTAACATTTGACTTTTCAAAAAACATATTTTTTGTGTCACTCACACAGAGTGCCTCGTCAACTTGTTGAAGTCACCACTGGCTTCACTGGACCGGGACGCTATACTCCACATCAGGAACTACTGGGTGGACGAGCCTGCCCCCCGGGGGTCATACAAGCCGGACTTTCCCATAGAGAAGCCACCGTGGGCGTCTATCGCCAACTGGAGGGAGACATACCAGTTCATCAATGATTACTTCAAACAGTATCCGGTGAGGAGAACATGTCTGTCTGTCTAGCTGGCTGGCTGTCTGACTGTCTCTCAACACAGTCACACACCACTGACTCTCTGGTCCCCCACAGCATCCAGGGACCTTCATGGAGATCGGTGCTAGTGACGGTGAGTTCGAGTCTCTGAGTCTGTACGTGGAGCAGGTGCTGGGGTTCCGCGGGGTGCTGGTGGAACCCAACCCGGAGGCTTACACCACGCTGCGCGCCCGACGCAGGTCTGCGTACTCTATCAACGCCTGCGCTAATCCATCATATGGACACACAATGGTTAGTACTACTAGTATGGTATTCAAATTCAAATCAAATTCAAAGTTTATTCTCTATAAGGATTACAATGCTGAGTTAACAGGTGAGTTAACAGGTGAGGTAGAGATAGTTGTGGTAGTTGTGGTGGTGGGGTGCAGTTGTGGTAATCAGGTGTAGTTGGGGGGTAATTGTAGTGGTGGTCGTAGTTGTTTTGGTGGTAGTAGAAGTTGTAATGGTAGCAGCTGTTATGATAGTTGGTAGTGATACTGGTAGCTGTGGTGGTAGAGGTGGTAGCTGTTGTAGTAGTTGTGGTGGTAATAGTATTAGCTGTTATGGTGGTTGGTAGTAGTACTGGTAGCTATGGTGGTAGTTGTAATAGTAGTGGTGGTAGTTTTAGGGGTAGTAGCAGTGGATTTGGTGGTTGCTGTTGGTGGTAGTTGTGGTAATAGTAGTAGTAGTAGCGGTGGTTTTAGTGGTTGGTGGTGGCGGTGGTCGTGATGGTAGTTTTGGGGGATATCCGTAGTAGTGGTGGTAGCAGTAGTGATGATGGTAGTGGAGGTATTTGTGGTGGTAGATGTGTTGGTTATGGTGGAAGTTGTGGTAGTGGTACTTTTTTTTTTATATTTTATTTAAAAACTTTACAGCTTACTATTAAATAAAAAGATATAAAATGGGTACAGTAGGATCCTCAATCCTACACAACATACACTAACAATCCTACACAACATACACTAACAATCCTACCAACAATACACTAACAGTCTAAAAATACACTAACAAACCTACACAACATACACAACAATCCTACACAACATACACTAACAATCCTACACAACATACACTAACAATCCTACACAACATACACTAACAATCCTACACAACATACACTAACAAACCTCCAACATAATAACAAACCACAAACATAACAATCCTACACAACATACACTAACAATCCTACACAACATACACTAACAATCCTACACAACATACACTAACAATCCCACACAACATACACTAACAATCCTACACAACATACACTAACAATCCTACACAACATACACAAACAATCCTACCACAACATACACTAACAATCCACCACAACATACACTAACAATCCTACACAACATACACAAACAATCCTACACAACATACACTAACAATCCTACACCAACATAAAAACTACACAATCCTACAAAAACAACACACTAACAACCCTACACAACAAAACACTAACAATCCTACACAACAAAACACCTAAAAAATTCCTACACCCAAAAAAAATACATAACATCCTACACAACGTACATAACAATCCTACACAACAAACACTAAAAATCCTACACAACATACACTAACAATCCTACACAACATACACTAACAATCCTACACAACATACACTAACAATCCTACACAACATACACTAACAATCCTACACAACATACACTAACAATCCTACACAACATACACTAAAAATCCTCACAACATCACTAACAATCCTACACAAAAAAAAAATACACTAACAATCCTACACAACATACACTAACAATCCTACACAACATACACTAACAATCCTACCAACATACACTAACAATCCCACAACATACACTAACAATCCACACAACTACACTAACAATCCTACACAACTACACTAACAATCCTACACAACATACACTAACAATCCTACACAACATACACTAACAATCCTACACAACATACACAACATTCCTACACAACAACACTAACAATCCTACACAACATACACTAACAATCCTACACAACATACACTAACAAGTTTTAACAACACATTGTCATTGACAAAAAAAGAGGTTACATATACACTCACAAATTTTTCCATATAACATACTACTATAATATAAACAATATAAACTATATAAACAAATATAAACTATATAAAATATAAACTATATAAACCTTTCAAATTTGTATAGTTACATACTAAACTGACAATATGAAAAAGGTTCACAACCTTCACAGTAGATAATCAGGAGAATGACCTACATCACAATCTCAGTTAAAAAAAAAATAAAATACATGCACTTCTCAAAATTAACCCCTATACAATAAGAATTACCTAAACACATACATACGTGCCTCACTACAATCCCTCTTTAAGCATTGAAAAAAAATGAAAATCCTAAGCCTCACTGAGCACATTATATAAAGTAAGAGACTAAACCATACTCTCCCATTACAAATTTTTAACGAGGCATTACAAATTTATGGAAGTCATTAGCGTTCCATCTCTCATCAACTGGATGAGCACATTATATAATGCTAAAATAAAGTCAGTACACTCGCTAAAAACCCCAACACTAAACACAAACAGCATAATTTAAATAACCTCTCATTGCGATACGATTATCGCACATGAAATATGCCCAATAAAGGCTATAAACGCACACTCTACAGAAGCCCAACAAGCTCTTCAAGGTCTTACACCTATAATCTTGACACCATTCACACTTAATACATGAAGAAGGTCATGACGACCCTGACACATCAAACACAGAATTCCCATTCGTTACTACGTAATTATTGGTATCACTTTGTTTTTCTGTGCCCACTTGCATGCTACATACACGTATAACCACACATCTACACCTTCTATACCCACATACACCTCACTCTCACCCCTCCCCAGGAGGCGACCCCGCTGTGTCCCCTGAATTCCCCTTCTCGTATGTAATTCCCAAACCCCACCCTTACTCACTCAGCCCAAGTCGTAGATTGATGAGAAACCCTAACTTTAACATTCTATACCCTTCCGAAAAATCCATTCTCCCACCTCCTCCCATACAGTCTCTATTACGACACATCGTACGATAAACCGTACCGCTAGTACCCGCCTCCGCACCTCACAATCCCCCCTCCCCTCATCACCCCACGATATATATATATATTATATATATATTATATATATATTATATATTATATATATATATATATTTATATATATATATATATATATATATATAATCCACTATTATATAATCCAAAGCTCTTATAACACTCTCATCGAACCCTCCCACATCTAGGCTTAGTGCACGCAGAACCGACACCCCTCGGCCCCCCACCCCCTGTACAACCCTACTTAACCAATACCTAACACCCTCCAGTCCCCCACAAAAGTATACTGCATGGAACGCCGTCTCATCCTCCCCACAGATTCCACACCTTCCGCCCACAATTTCCTCTCTGGTTCTTAGTACCTCCCCCGACGGTAGTATGCCATGCAGAAAACGATACGTTACCTCCCTTACCATAAGGCTTTAACTTCAACTTGCTAAACCTATACCAAATACTCTTCCATGCGTACATGGGGAACAATCCCTCAACTGGTACAACAATCCTTTCTTCATGCAGCTTACACAAAACCCCTACTCGAATTTTCCTGGGTTCTCTAACCAACATCAAAGCCCTCAAAACAGTTTCACATTCCCTCAACTCCACACCAGCATACAACTTACCCAACCTATCATGTATTTTTCCCAGCTGCCCTCCACTCATACCTTCGCGCAAAACCTCCTATTTAAGAAACACACATTTAATCCTCCTTCTCAGATCCATCAACCCCAACCCACCCTGGCGCACAGGTAACATTACAACCTCTCTCCTCAGCCAATCGCACCTGGAACCCCACAAAAAGTTGAACACTCGTCTCGGAATTCCCACAATCGCCGTCCCTGTTAATGGGAACACGGCTGCTACGTGCCAAACCTTACTATACAATAATACATTTATAAACAATCACTTGTTGTACGAGAGTCAGATGATGGGGTCGCAATGCACCCAGACGCCCCTGAATCCTTTCCATTAATCTATTCGAGTTTTTCCTCTCGAGCAGCATCCAAGTCATCCTTATAGGTGATACCACAAATTTTTAAAAGACATCGTTTGTTTCCTCACAAACGTTACATCTCCCCCCCCTCCCCCATCACCCAACCCATGATCATTGACTTCTCTCTATTTACCTGCATCCCTGTTGCATTTCCGAACTGTTGCACAACATCCAAAACACCCAACGCCATCCCCTCTCGAACCAGGACTGTTGATCGTCTACATATCCTATTATTCCAGGCCACACTTTCCCGACCTCCCCACACCTCCACTCGTGTCACATACAACAAACGTTCAACCATTCTATAGAAGGGGTCCTGAATGCACGCAAACAACATTTGTGACATGGGACACCCCTGCCTAAGTCCCCTACTCATACAATCTCCTCCCCCAAGCATCCATTAATCTGTACCCTCATCTTAGCTCCATTGTACAACGTGTTACCCAGTTAACTATTCTTCCCCATAACCCTGCCTCCTAAGTATAGCTTCCAATGCTCCCCTTTCCACCCTGTCATAGGCCCCCTGCCAGTCTAAGGCCAACAACGCCGCCCTCCCTCCCCCCCCCTTTTGACTCCAACAAACTTCTCAGTATTCCATGACCCTCAGTCATCAACCTTCCAGGCAAACCACACTGCGTTTTCGAAACCACTCTCCCTACCACACATTTAAACCGATTACCCAAGACTTTAGCGAACAACTTATAATCAGCACATAACAGAGATATGGCACGGTACTCCTTGAGGGTGTGCTGCCCCTTACCCTTCTGGACCAACACTACAACTGCTGTTGCTTGCTTGTACCCCATCACACCCTTCTCCTTCATCTGATTAAATAACCTACCCATGAATCCCCTTATCACCTCCCAATGTTGGAGGTAAAATTCAGCCGGGAGACCGTCTATTCCCGGTGCTTTGCCCTTCCTCATTCCCCTTAAAGCCAACTCTATTTCCTCTTCTGTTATTACCCCCCCCCTAAAGCCTTTCTATCACTATTCCCTAAATTACACATCACATACTCACACACCTTCTCTAAATCCACATTCTCCACCTTCCCACTTGTCCAATACCCTTCATACCATTTATCCGCATACGCACACATTCCTTTCGTAGTTAGTATCTCCTGACCCATTCTATAACCCCCCGCCATCTCATTTACCTCTAA